GGGGAGTCAAATTTTCATAGGGGAACCACATTTTCATTATGTGCACATTTTTAATTTTTCTTTTTTTTATGAAGATTTTCACCTGCAAACTATAAAAAAGGTGCCAATGTATCATCCATTATGCATACTACAAAATCATAGTCATTTACTCAAATAAAATGAGATTAATGAATGTTTTTTTTGGGGGGAGTCAAAATTTCATGGGGGGAGTCAGATTTTCATTATGAAAATCTGACTGGGGAGTCAGATTTTCATAATGAAAATCTGACTGGGGAGTCACATTTTAGGGGAGTCAGATTTTCATGGTACACCTGTAAATGAATTGGCTACAAATATGTAATTTTTATGGTTCCGTGGAAATTAATTGTATATTAATTTATACATTTTATTGCTTTTATTGCTTTTGTGAAATGAAAAAGCCTGACAGAAAACAAAGTAAAACTGGTTTATGATTATTATTTTTGAATTGCTCTTTTGCATTTTGATATACGAGTTTAAACTGACCTTTTTTTGTAACACTTATAGGTATTGGTCCTACACCTTTGAAAGTCATAGAGAACTACCAAACGACATTTTATAGGAGAAGATTACCCAGGTATTAAGCCTGATAAATAATGTATGGTTTCATTCTTTTCACATCAAATATCACTTAGTCGCTACAATTCTTCTCTTAAGATTTTAATCAGGGTGTTTATAATTAATTAAATAATCAAAAACGGGCAAACCCACTTGTGAAGAAAACAGGCATCAAATGACATTTTTTGTGCTATGCAGGTTAAATGCATGCGTAAAAATAAAATACTTCTTCCGCATTTAAGCGTTGGCGCAAACATTTCAACCGTTGTGTAGTTTTGAATATGAACTACTCATGGCAAACGAAAGAAAAACATCTGTATTATCACACTAAATAACCTGTAGTGTTGGTTTGTCTTAGAAAAATATTAAAATGATTAGTTTTACCTCCACGTACGTATCCCTAGACTGTTATGAAGAAAAAGAGTATTGTCTAATGGACTTCAATGAAGAAAAACATTTCAAGTTTAAAAGCTTATTGGGATGTTTTCACAATGATAACACAACACTGATTGTGTTTTTTTCCAGGGTCCACGTGATAACAATGTGCAGTTGTGTGCCTTCCACGAATAAAAACACATCTATCCATGTTTGCACGATCCAGCTGCAGTGAGTTTAGCCATAGAAGGGAATATCAAATAAATTAAGCTGAACTTGAATAAATTAAATTCGAAGAAAACACAATGATGTTATGTATACTTATTTCCGATGCACATGCAAATATATAAAAACGTGCCGGAGAGTTTTAATCAGAGAGACTTCGGAAGTACATGTAAGAAGTGTTCTTTTGCAGCTGGTAAGTGAAATGTTTGTATTGATTACTCTGTATATCTACATTTTATTAATCCATGTATTTACGTTTCTTAACTGCACTTTGCTTTAATTGTTTGCCTTTAATAAAAGATTCAAATCTAATCACCGTATAGATTTTAAATAAATAAATAAATAAATATAATGATGCATCTATGAATATCTACTACTGTATAAAGATGTTAAATCTAATTCAAGCTTTCGGCACCTTTGCCTTCTTAAGGGGTTTGAAAAAAAAATGGTAATAACAAACTTTTAGGATCGTGACGTCGGTGACGCGATGTCACAAAAGCGTGCATGATGTAAACGTTTTCAACATTACGTAACAAAAATTAATATTCATTTAGGAAACATTTGTTCAAATTCAGGCTGTTTTTAAACTGTCTAATATTCTTATTAAATTTTTTGTTCAGCGATCCATATTTGCCTTCTGTCGTTTAAGTTTCCTTTTTAACACATCACTGACGTCATGTAGCCTAGGTGATTGTATGTTAACATTTTTTTTTTCAATCCATGAAGACGTCCTATGGGTTGAAAAGGGGTTGAACGCTTGTATTATATATTAAATCTTTATAATAATTTTTATAGACCCTACTCTTATTAGTAGCTGAAATCACCTGCCAGAATTAGGCAATAGTGAAGCCGCGATATTTTCCTTTTCTATTTATTTATTTGTTGCGATTCTTCTTATTATTATTATTGTTGTTGTTGTTGTTGTTTTGCTTAAAAAAGTGCTGTGCAGTTTGATAAGTTGACCATTACTTGCTTACCGCTCAGTTGTTTCAAAAGTGAAGGGAACGGGCATTGGCCGCACACTTTTAATGTAATATAGTCTGATCTGATGAATCGATGTAATATAGTCAGACGGCATATTTTACGAAGGTTTTTACCACAAGAGCCGTTTACCCACTCTTAAACCATTTGTACCATTTCAAGATCAAAAGGTGTCATTTATAGCATGTTCCTTGTAAAATGAAGACCTTGTATACATGTAGATGATTGTTTCAACAGAATGTAACGTGGATGTTATAAACTTAGCTGATACACATACCTATAATTGCATTCTCTTATACCTGTACAACATTTCATCCGCAAAAAGTGTTGACACAAATGTTTTAAGCGTTATTTATTTTTGATATGAGCTGCTCATGTTAAACGTAAAAAACATGTTTGTTGTTATACTAAATAACCTATATTGTGTGTTTGTCTTAGAAAAATACTAATTTGTTCCGCCTCTACGTACGAATCCCTAGACGGTTATGAAGAAATGGAGTTTTCTCTAATGTATTTCAAGAAAAAAAACGTTTCAAATTTAAAAGCTCATTTGGACGGTTTTACCGTGATATCATAAGACGTATTGTGCTTTATCCAGAGTCCCCGTCATAACAATTAACAGTCCTATGCCTTCTTTGAATAGAAAGATATTTATTCATATTTAATGTAATTTCTATAGCGTTTCCTCAAATGTGTAATGTTAGTAATTGACAGCCACAAGTGAATAAGGAGTCTTTTGTTGAGTAACTTGAGTTGATTGACACATGACCCCTTCGTGCTTAAGCGCAGAATGTAATGTAAACGAAGAGAGCGATGTGGGAGGTTGAAGGGAGAGAAAGAAAATGCACTAACATAGTAAGGAAGTAACAAAAGAATATGAAGGAATATGAAAGTTGCTTAGTTCTTACCTCGCGTAATCAGTAAGACAAAGTCAATACCGTCGTCACAAATGTATTTCAAGAAAAAACTTCTTAAGTTTAAATGCTCATTTGGATGTTTTAAAAGTGATATTATAGCACAGATTGTATTTTATCCAGACTTTGTCGGGGCACTGGTCTAGGCGCTGCGCTCGTTGTAATGCACCCTTGTCCAAAATGTGCTTAATTAGATGCTACATATTTCCCAAACCGAAAGCATTATGGCATAAATAACTATGTGTCTGACCAAAGTCGTTTATAGAGTTTTCACATAAAAAATGCACTTTGATTCGATCTGTGACTTTCATTACCAGGTCAAACAGGCTAAAAATCTGTAAAGATTCTTTTTTTTTTTTTTTTTTTTTTTTTGCAATTTGTTTTATTTTAGCCAATTTTCATTCACTACACAGAACTTTCCTATAATATTATGGACAGGTGTTACGTCTTCGTAGGTTTGGGGTCAATTGGTGCATTACCACGGGAAAAGCAACCATTAGATGCCGAAACTGGAAACTCTAATTCTGGAACTGTATTTGATGGAGACCTCTTGCTTGTTGTATTTTTTTTAGAACTCATCAAGCGCAATACCGTGGGTGGTGTCCGTTTTTTTTTTTTTTCCACACGGTTTAGGAGTTGCACTATGTCAAAAAAAGTCACAATATTCAGTGTTGAAAATATAATGTGAAAATTCCAAATTTAGCACAGATACGCCCATAGTTGCTATTGAATTTGTATTTCATTTCACCGCACGTTTAACTTTCCCAGATACGCCTTCAAGAAAATGCAGTTATACTGGCATATTCTAGACCTGTGTCTCTTTGCCGCTCTGGTGTGGCCTGCCTTGTGCAAAGACGAGGGCTACGTATCGAAAAATTCGTCCGCCTTACCTAACGCCAATTTGCGTGTAAGTATACACTTAGATTCGTAGACATTGTATCAATTCTGGCCTTCATTAAAAACTGTCAATGTCTTTCGTATATTTGGGTGAAATAAATTATTCCATTTCCTCTCAATAGTTACAGCGAATCAAGATGTACTGTTTGCTACATCGTTGTCATCCCTCCCAATTATCTGGATCTCCCTGATTATACATACAAAAAAGAACATATTTTATTCACCTCCTCCCTTCATCTTGGTTTGATATATTCTTGTGGTTCCGAAAAAGCTGTTAGTAGAGAGGGCGGGAGAGAAAGGGAGATCAGGATTAAAAATTAAAAATTAAACATTTTGTTATGTGCATTTTTAGGGTAAAACCCTCCACTACCGATATGAAAGCGAAGCCAATCTGTTCGGTCCGGCAGAGGAAACTTTTCACATCTCCGCTGATGTAGATGTGGAGTATATTGGAGGTATTTAGTAAAATTTATCGGAATTTATATTTATTCTACATACCCTTTGTTAATAAGACGAGGTATCTGATATTTAACCCACTGCTTCATTCATTGTAACTTAATTAAATAACTGCATTGTCGTTTTCTTTTGTTATTTTAACTTGACGATTTGACTAAACCAACCATATTGTTAACCTATTATTTGGTGAAATTTTGTGTCTGAAGCATTATATTAGACATGGTGACTTTTGAAAATTATACAATTGTTGACATAATGTGTTATTTCGTTGCTTATTTCCAGATGGCTTTGGGAGCTACATAGATGAAAGCGCTTCATCCTTCCTTATGTTTATGCGTAATGTTCTTGCTCAAGTGGTCAAAGAAAATGGGTGAGAGCCATATTATCTTAATTAATTTACTTTTAGTCCAACCATTGCACTATATCCACATGTCCAGTGTACACATATCATGTGACACTAAACAGTCGCTCAATTAAAATATTAATGGAGCTTAATAGGTTCATTTACCTCAAATATTTGCAATAATGGATTTGTATTTTTTTTTTTTTTTTTTTTTTTTTTTGGTGTTGGGTCCTTATTTCACACATTTGCTTTTCCATTTCAATAGCACGACCTCCCAACCCGAGGCTCCCCTGTCTGCTGACGACCTGTATGACCAGCCTACCTGGTTTGTTCAACTGGGGAACGGAACTATTGCCGAGGCTAGGTTTACCAAGAAAGATTTAGGTAAAGTAATATTTTTCTCCACACGCTACATATCTTATGGATGATGTCGATCTTAAATCAAAATCGTAGCACTTGCCAAAGGGGTGAGGCGCGTTCCTCTCCCTTTTGAAATCGCTTTCCTCATACGCAAACAAGTGCTTAAAACTGACAGTTATCAGACGAACATATATACTCGTCTATTTGCCGCTCAATTAAAAATAAACAAAGCAGGCATGTCATCCATATAAAACTCAGAACTTGTTCTCTAAAATATTTTGTGCTTAACTCTTTCGCATTTATTTTTAGGAAATACAGACGTCATGAATTTCAAACGTTCTATTCTATCGGCACTTCAAACTAATTTAGTGCGTGGCAAAGAAAATGTCAAAGAGACAGACGTCATGGGGACACACGACTCACACTACAGGTAAGCGCATGGTTCTACCTTTTCATTTTTTTTCTTTTGTGAATGTACAACAACATCAGAATACTTTTGGAAGATAGAGGCAGACTGACACTACTGATACACATTTGCAATGAGTAGGATATCTTCCAGCAGAGCAATACAACCCCTTAATTCCATAAGTCGCACTATTTTTAAATACTAGACTTATTTAAAAGCTTCAGCGTCATTAGGATCTTGACTTTTATTTTATTATTGAATATGGGTGCTTACTAGTTTTTCCAACATTTTTTTCCAGCAGTTTTACCTAGGATTAAAAAAATAAGGAAAACGGTTCAAATAATTCAAACATATTTCAATAATTCAAATTACGCGTATCTCATTTAAACCATAAATACAATAATTCTTTTTACTAAAAACAGGCATGGCTGCCAATAATTTTAATAATGACTTTTATATATTTATAAAATAAATTTCTTTTTAATTCCATCTATAAATCAAATATTAAACAGGAAATTGTGCTAAAAATGGGTTATGAGAAATATAGCTGTTATTTTCTAAATCACCCATAAATCACGTTTGCATTGTTTTTACATACTGTAGTTACTTCATTGTATACATGTGTACAGGTGCGTATATGTTAAATGATATCTCTCGACTTATCTTACCTATCAATTTTATTTATTATATTTTTTCATTCTTTCACTTTCCTTACTCGAAATGGGCGGTGCTGTTGCATTATGTTGCATTATGTTCATTGCCTTTCTAGGTCTACGGAGCTGCAATTTGGAGAGATTGAAGTTAAGAAGCACTTTTCCTCCAAGGACATCTACGCAGAGAATAATACTGACTCTGACACGGACGAAGTGGACATCGAGACAGATGAAGTCCAGCGTGTTAGTGGAGGTATCCTGACCAGCGTCTCCGGACACGTGCAGGTGTTTGACAAACCCGAGGAACAGGTAAATATGGTTTTTATGTCTCCTCCATCCCAGTGTACCACAAACTTTAATAGTTTCATTCGCTGCAAGAAAGAAGACAACGAAAAATATCACTCTCTAGCTTATTTGTACTTCTTAGCCAAGCAATAAAAACATATTTGCTTACATCTGTTTCTAATATTGTAATTTTAAATGTTTAAAAATGATAAAAACGCAGATTTAGGGAAGGACAACTAGGGTAACCGTTATCATGCGGAATATGCCTCCTCTTCCAGTTTCATGTGTTTCTATCATTCTATTAATGAAAAAAAATAGTGTAGTTTATCATTATGTCTGTTTTATAAACTGGGTGCCTGATTAGATAAGATTCACAGTACCTGTTTTGTTAAGATATAATATCAGAACTAGGGCTGATATAACGTGTACGATCCCAACCGGTAGGAATGTGTTAACTATACTGGTATGATTATTGTTAAGGGACAATCTCACTAGTAAGATTTCGAACCGCAGAGACCGTTACCGTTACAGCCGAACATTTACCTTCGCTTCTTATGTGTGTCTAATTTAAGTCACCAGATATCAGCTTATAAAGCGCCCAAAATATAATAAATATGATAAATTGAAGATTCACCATGAATTACATACTCGAAACAAACTCAAACGGTGCATTGCATTTTCCAGGAAACTACAGAGAAAATTTCAAAAACCAAATACAAATAATACTGGTTATAAGTATTATTCAATATTGCATTCATTTAGGATGACGCTGTCAACTCTGAGGAAGGAAGTGATATTGATCTTGGGGTATTATTGACATCTGACGTGACCTTCAACCTTACCTTGCGCAAGCACGTAAAGCGTTCCGTTGAAGGCGTTCAAAGAATGGCAGCGGCAGCTAACACTCAATTCCAGAAAAGATCATTGGTCGGGCAGTATGACAAGAGTAAGTGTACTAGCCTGGAGTAATTAATGATTATCACAATAAAAAGATAAAATGATAATTTTATTTTTATCAAAGTTTATCTATTAAAATATTTGTCATTACCAAAATGAAGATAAGATTAGTTTCTGTTACATACTTAGTTTTTAGTCTACTAGATACACAGTTTTTAAGAATGAAGTTTTGATCTCCTGAACTGGAAATACTGTTCAGTGTGAAAAGCTATTATTGTATCTTAACTTCTTGCACAATACGTTGCTTATTTCTGTTATATCTTCTTTTTTCTCTTCGGTGAGCTGGTTATTTTGAAACGGTTTTTTTTTTTTGTTTATTGCCAGCGGTTCGGTTTTATTCTATAAATGGTATGGCACTTCTTGGTCACTATTACAGTGTCTGGTGTATACCGAAGATGGACTGTTTTGAGGAAGATGTTCGACGAAGAGGATAGGTTGAATCAAGTTGTGGCAAACTTCATTAAGGATCCAACAGATCCGTCACAGTGTACGTATTAAAGCTTTATATATCCTTTAAGAAGGATAAGAATGAAACATTTTTTTTCTTAAATCAATAGCTTAATATTGAAATAGTTTACCTCCAATATTCCGATGTCTAACAGGACACATTCACCAGGGAATGGGCTATCCAGGTGAATAGCCTCATTCCCTAAGGAAATGTGAACAAGTGCTATGTCATGTAGAGCCCTGGATTTACCTCTAAACTCACTTCTTGCATATAGTGTGAAACATCGTTTCTGAGGAGACAAGGTTATAAATTTGAATTAATGGTATGAAATACGAATATGTTTATTGTCATTTTGGTATTTTTTTATTTTTTATTTATTATTATTATTATTTCATTTATTTATTTTTTTTTTTTTTTTGTACCACTAATCATGGTTGATGTGATATCTGGAATAAAATGCACTGTTTATGAAAATGTTCGCCTGTGAGGTGATCATTTGTAAATAAAAGTTCATGGAAATACATGTAGATATGGGACCACCATTTTTACCAGTACTGTATGTTTTGACTGAAGGGTCAAAGACGAGAAAAGGCTTAATTCCGCCGAAGATACGTATATTTAAAGGGATAATAACTCTTCGTTTTGGCCAAATATTGATTTCTCCTTGAGTAAACAACAACTCAGGATAGGAAACAATGGAAAAAGCATGCTGAGGCCTTTGTCCAACAGTGGAACACTATAAGCTCTAAATGATGATGATGATGATGATGAAACAACAATTTCCCTATACTTACCAATGGTTAATGAATCCATTTTACATTCAAAGTTAGTCCCTATTTTATTTTCGTAAAAGTTTTTTTTTTTTTTTTTGTTATCATCTCTTAAGAGATTATAACAGAGTATAGCCATCAATGGAGGTCACGTGGTCTAATGACAATCTCAAGCAGATATCAGAATAATAGCTACAACTACTATATTATATTTCTATGAGTTGTTCTCAATGTTTTTATTGTGAAATATATATCTCATACGAATAGTCATTATCCTTTTAAGTGTTCTAAATATCAATGTCTAAATGTTTGTACTTGTTTTTATAGTGCAGGAAGTGAACGAAATTCTTTCACTGGAAAATGAACTCGGGATCCCACACAACACAGCTACTTTTGCAGCGGCCAACAAACCAGCTCTGGTTAAGCAACTGATGAAAGCAACAAAAGAGGTGTGCATACAAGAAAACTTTTATAGCATTTTTTTTCAGAATTTAACAGTTTTAGTAATCACTTGATATAGTTTTGAAGGCCAGGTCAAACATTTATTGCAATATGCATAATGACCAAAAAAACTGTGTAACAGGGGTATACACCAAAGCTGTAATATTCATCAATATACGACCAAATTTTGATATTTTAACATATTGTTATAGTTATACTTTGTGGCATCTTCACTTTCCTTTTTATTTCTTGAAAGGTTTGAATATACATGTACATAAGGCAGCATTTAAACATTTTTTAATGTTTTGGGGATTGATGGGTACGTTTTTGCTTGACGTAAAATTAATAACTAAAAATCAATTAATGCTTTTTTTTTCTTTTAACTTAGCTAAACCTCAACCCGTTGTTTATTTCTAGATTGTTTCCAAATGTTCGACAAATTGGGGAATATGTAAAGCAATTTTGGATCTTTACATCACCGCTGGCGGAAAAGATGTTGAAAAGGTGCAGTTTATACTGAGTAACTTACGATAGCTGGCTATAGTTTTGTAAACTTGATATGTAGATGCATTCATACTCAGTTGGTTCTGGTCATCTTCAATATGTGTTTTAAAAACATCTGAACTATCAACCACAAAATGGTCAAATTATTTTTACTCTAGAAGATTGTTTGTCACTCTTTTTAGAAAGGGGAGACAAAAAAACGAAACATATTTTTATAATAACGATGAGCATGAGTGATACTTTGTCAAAAGTTAATTTAATTATTTTTTTAAGACTCTGTCAGATCTGGTCCAGTGTCACCCCCTTGCTGCCGATCAAAAGCAGGAACTAGTTCAGAAGTTGTCCTTTATTGCCAAACCCACAAACCACATCTTTACCACAGTCAAGACACTCTGGAACGCGCTGTCCTCCCAAGGCGATCCATCTCAAAGTCACGTTATACTTACCCTCGGCTCCCTCGCCTCGAAGGAAACTACCAGCACTGCTTTCCAGTCAGAATTGGTGGACTTTCTTCGACGCCATCTTCATTCAGGCGACAAAAATAATAACACAGAACAAATTAGTGACGCTCTTGAGGCTATAGGTAACTTTGGAGACAACAGACTAACACCGGACGTATTAACAATTGCTAAAAAGGAAGAACAAGTGGAAGAGATAAGGATAGGCTGCATCCACGCTCTGAGAAGAAACTTCCACGTTGAGTCGGTTCAGCAATGGCTAGTAGATTTGCTGACTCATCCAACGTCTAGCTGTGAATTACGCGAAGCTGCCGTGGCCACCATCAAAAACGAACTTGCTTACAGAAAGGTATTGGATACTAAAAACAAGGCATGGCCCAATTCAGGTCAAACAGAGGTGGACAGAATCCTTCTCAATGCACTTCTTATGGCAGATGTAAGATATGAGTGCGCATTTTCAGACATTAAGGAATACATTCTTCTTAAAGGTGTACCTTTTGGCAATCTTGGTGAAAAGGCGGTGAATTCCACACGCGCCAAAAGAGGAGTCGACCATGTAAGTTGCAGCTCTTGGGGCACCTACGGATCACGGTATTCAGAATTGTTAAGTTCATCGCAGTTCTCAAGCGACAACTCTCTATACCCAGACAACAAGCACTGCCTTTCCCACATCAGTTACGGTCCTTCAAAAGCGAATGTCTACATCAAGTCAGGTGTGTTTGCTGGTAAAAATGTACAACAAGGATACTGTAAAGTGTACGGCAAGGCAATAGCCAAACTCAAAATCTTCTCCCAACGCATTACTCTTGCTACCGCAGAAGCCTATCGTCTTAAACAAGGCAGCAGTCGCACAAGGATCTATCTCAATGTGTACGGGAAGACTGTGGTGTACAGATATCAGTCCGGTCCACTTGAAAAGACTTTTCCCGTTTACAATCCATCCCCAATAACCATCACCTTGTACCGGATTTGGATATATGTCGGCCATATCTCCTTCACCGTTTCCTTGGCCCCAAGCTTGGACTTTAGTGTCAGAGCAGGGTTTTGTCCTCGTACAAACAATCCTTGTTCTCACTGTTTGACGATGACCCTTAAAGCAAGTGTCCGCATTTCTGGTGGTGCTTCAGCTAATTTGGCTGTAAGTATACATGTATATACGAACACAGCGAAAGAGAGAAAGAGAAAAAAGATTAAAGTTAATTTACTGAACTGTCTGTTAGAGAGAGACAAATATATCACTGAAACATTTACAAATATTAAAACTGTACCACTTGTAGATTTGTAAAGTAATTTATATATTGGGAATACCAATTTACAATCGTGTGTTGTTCTCTATACAATTGATCTCTGGTTGCTGTATTTTGTTAATTCTGGTTGTATCAATAACGATTTTGTCAAAGCCATGATATGTACTCTTAATATATAAGCAAGTTTATATACCAATGCTAGCAACCATAAATATGAAACATAATTTTCAGTCACTGGTTCGTGGTGGAATTGACATCGGTATCACCCTCAATTACTTAGTTGAAGGAGAGGGAAAGCTCTACCCTGGGATTTGTTTCTCGTTTTACCACGGTCATGACCCCATGAGGATTGACATACAAGCTTGGTATCAAATACGATCGTTCGTGGTTAGTGGCTGGAGATCCTGGGTAAGTTGTGAATCGGCGTATTTTAATATGACATTTGATTCAATTAGACTTAAATAAATATAAATGCTTTTAGCTAATGTCAGATTCATCATGCTTTATTTTTTTTTTTATAATAATAATAATAATAATAATAATCTGTTATAAATATTAAAATGTTTATTTCATTATGACGTTTTTCATATCAGGGGTGGGCCTGGGGAAACAGGAATACGTGGAGTCCGTCGTCGCTGTCTTGGAGCCTGGGAAGCTCTAGAAGACACCTTATCGGTAGAGCGGGCAGTTGCTAGGCATGTTTGTTAAATGATTGCAAAAAAACTATCGACTTGGTCTGAATATATAAGTGTGCACTTATTTGTACAAGCGTGTACACGTACATGTGGGCATGTTTGTATGAGTTGAACCTATTGCATCACAGATACAGGGTATGCTTAATCCAAATGAAAAAGTTCCTGTTACAACAACTACAGGTTGCATATATTGTTCTTACATTATTGTCACATTTTAAGAAAATGACATTAGTAATCCATGTATGCCCCTGGGGATACTGACTGAGTAATGCGATTTTTGTTTTGTTAAATACAACTGATTTCATTTTATTTGGTCGCTTTATTTGATTTATTCGAATCCGTCAATACACTGAATGAGTTCATTTGTTTATCTTCATCATTGTTTATCTTCTTTATAGTACGTGTTTTCTTCTTTTTTTCTTATCTTAAAAATTTGAATGTGTTTATTTGGTTATCAATTTGTTAATGATTTATCTGTATTGATTATTTTCATTTCTATTGCTTCTTTTGTGCATGCTTTATTTAAACACGAGCATATAACTTAATTATTCAAAAGTGAGCTATCTGTATAGGTTTCTTCAAATTTAACTATATTGATTGCTGTCAAAGTTTTTTACATATTTAGATTTTATTTACTTACTCTTTTTCCTGAATGAAACGGCGCTTTCTCATTTTGCGTGAATCTAATTGATTAAAACAGAACACATTGGATGCTATCTCCAGTTCAGAGAATAGAGACCTATTTGTAGTACCAGTACGTATATCAATATATCTATTAGTATACTAAAATTGTATTAAGAATATCTCACGATCAATATTTTTTTAATTATTTTTATAGATTAAGAGTTTATTGATTTTCACATTTGCCTGAATAAAACAACATTGTCATGATGTGCGTGTAACTGTAGCTTAGGCAGAATACAATGAATGCTTTTGCATCTGACTCGTCTTTGTTATAATTTGTCTTTTCTTGATAAAATCGTCCAGAATTTACTAATAGCAGGAAGAGTTCTTAAGTAAAAAATGAATAAAAAAGAAGCAAAAAACATATCATAAAAGCACCCCTTAACTGTTAGAATATTTTTTAATCATTTTGATATTCCATGCCGACAAATGAATGCACGAATCCTAAACTTGACATATATACACTCTTGCCCAGAATGGTTGGTACACGGAAATTTTGGGATGCATATCGCCCTGTTTCTTTCATTATTATTGATATTACCAAATTAATACTGTTTATATTGTTAAATATGTGAAGCTGGAGGATTGGTTAAGTCAAGGAGAAACAACCAATGCAAATGTGAAAAAAGCGTTAATTTATTTAGGTTTTTTTTTTCTCATGCCCCCCAAAAGAGTACATTTTTTACATAACAGTACCAAGTGAAAAATTAAACATAAATTTATACTGTGATTGACAATTAATATGAAATTAGGGGAAATTGTCAAGAAACAACTTCAGAGTTCATTATTAATCTCAATAGCTGGTATACCCACCCTGAGCTTGGATAATGGCCGCCAAACGGCGTGGCATACTGTGAACTAGAGTCACAGCTCTTTGGAGAGGAATTCTGGTCCATTCATCTTGAAGGGCATCTCGCAGGTCATCTAGATTTGCAGGGGGAGGGTTTCTCCTCTAAATAGCACGACCAAGTTCGTCCCACATGTGCTCAATTGGGTTTGCATCTGGGCTTCTTGCTGGCTGTGGCATCAGCTGAATGTTGTTTTGTCGGATAAAGTCTGCAATTAAGCGGGCTGTGTGTTGAGTTGCATTGTCATGTTGCAATGTAAAATTGTCTCTATATATCCCTCTTGCGAATGGATCCAGGTTCTCCTGGAGAATGTCTCTGTATCTGGCAGCGTTAAGGTTTTCATCCAGAGAAACCAATGGGTAAANCTATTAATTCTGTGAGTTACTTCCGCCCACAGATTTTCAATTGGGTTCATATCTGGATAGTTTGCAGGCCAGGGCAGTTGCTGAACCCATTGGTTTTGAAGAAAAACAGTGATTATGCGGCCTCGATGTGGGGTTGCGCAGTCGTCTTGGTACACAAAGTTGTTCCTGAAGATGAATCTTACCAATCGAAGCATTGTTTGCTGTAGAATGTCTCTGTAGGAATCCTGGATGAGGTTGCCTCCTAGAAAAACCAGCTGGTTCTGGGCACCGACATGAAATACTCCCCAAAACAGAGACGTTACCATCCCCTGCTTGCACCCTAGGCAGTACACAATCATTGTTTTATGCCCCTCGTACACGTCGGTGGACACGGATTCGACGATCAACCCTAAAAAATCCATATCTGGCCTTATCACTGAAAACAACGTGATTCCAGCGTTTTGGCTGCAACTGCACGTGGTCCCCAGTCCTTTGCAGACGTCGCTGTATATGACCTGCTGTTAACAGTGGTTTCCCTTCTGTCCTTCGTGCATAATAACCGGCTTGCAGAAATCTCTTGTTCACGTGGGATCTTGAAACGGGCGTTTGAATGATATTCTGCCTCTCTTTTCTGAGGACACTGGTTGTCTTTGTACGACCAGCACGGCGTCCACTAAGGAGAAGGCGATCCTGTCTTCTTGGTGTGATACGCGGACACCCTGGTCGAGGTATTGGAGTAGGTGCCCCTGTAGCAGCATTTCTTTGGAGGACTTCACAAACGGTTCCTGATAAATGTTGAATTACCTGGCAATGGCTGTCCGTTTCTGGCCATTTTCTCTGAGAGCAAGAATCCCATAGTAAGCTGCGTTGCTTTGCTGTCGTACCATATCTTCACTAAGGTACCTGACAAGTTTCAGAGCGATCCCTTTGTTGCTTCTCTAAACACGCTCCAAAGATTGACCAAACCCATGCGTTTTTATACAAGGGCAGAAATTGCCGAAAAGACCACCCCTCACATTTCTGACCACAGAACATGCAACTGCATGCATCAATTGTTTCGAGAGTTGTGTGGTAATTAGGTAACACATCTGGCTACACATGGAGTGACACCTCAGCTTTGGATTTAAAGTAGTTAGAGAGAAATTAAATATTTTGTAGAAAATTTATTCGCCAAAAAATAATATTCCATATTAAGTGGTAACCCTGTATGTTGACGTTTTCGTGATTTAAACTAGTTTTGGCCATTCCTCAATACATTCCCCACATAACATTTGCCTCCATAAATTATTGATCTTTTCACGTCTTAGGGTGCTTTCCCAGAGATTTAGATCGATCTAAAGATTAAGTTTTAGATCGACCTAACTCCCTGGGGTTCACGCTAAATTGCAGTCATCCGAGCAGGCACCATAGTTAATTACCCCCTTACAGCTTTTAGTAGGCGGGACAGACGCTTAAGCCGGCCAAGCTGACAGTAATCTAGTGAGACTCCCCACAGGGATAGATCGATCTAAAATTCTATGGAAATGGGGTGTTACTCTCTGCCTACAGGGTGCGTTAGTAGTCTGGTACAAACTATTTATTTTATAGATACTAGAATTTGATATACTATTAGAGAAGCCCCTGATATAAGAAAATACCACCTCCCATGAAAAACATCTCATGTTAACGATTTTGAAATCAATTGTTACATGTAGACGTAAAAGTAGAATATTTGTGATATAAATGTTAACGATTTTGAAATCAATTGTTACATGTAGACGTAAAAGTAGAATATTTGTGATATAAATAACCAATTAAGGTGAGACGCGTTTTGGAATGGTCCGAATAGATGTAGCTACATCAATTATTTTGTTTATATTTATATTTAGATGGTAGTCTAATGGAAATAACATAATATAGTTATAGCAATATATATTTATTAAGAATTGTGAGCATAATTGTATAAAATCTATTATATTTTGATACGATGAGATTTGTGGTCAGAGTTGGCTTGATTATTTTGTAAGGTCATTTTTGAAATTTACTATTCTTCATTCTTATGCACCGTGCATAATCCAATTAATCAGAACATTTTTTGTTTTAAAATTATTTCTCAAGGAACTTATGACTTTTTTGGCAAGGCATGAAAACAGCGCGTGGTGTCTCTTTTCAACACAAAACATTGTCACACTTTATCGTCGCATATATTATAGTTCAAATATGTACATGTAAGAGACGTTTTTTTCATACAACCGTGCTGTTGCAGAGATGTCAAACATGTGTGGATGAAGGATTTATTATGGGTACTGGGCAATTTAAAATGTTGAATTGATTATGCGAGTCCAGCATGAGTCTTTTTTCCAGTTTTTATATATAATATATATAATTGTAATTTTAAGAGGGGAATACTAGATCCGCCAATGTTTTTTAAAGGGAAATTGTAAAAAAAAGAAGTTTTTTTCAGTAATATGATGTTTATGCTGTAATGGATCAAACATAAAACGTAAAACATCAGTTAGTTGATACTTATAATTATGAGGGTTTATTTCTGATTGATGTCTTACAATGAATTCATACAATTTTTTCTGCCGTTTGACCATTAAAATGAAATCTTTCCAAATGTTATAGTGAGAAATGACGACAGCAGTTTGGAGCTTTCGAACGTTTATTCACCGACTCTCTCTTCATACAACTTCACAATTATTTATACTCAATTTCTCCGTACTGATCACGCATTTACTTGTTTTCTTTTCCATTGTCTCT